GTGTCTTCCATGGAAACGCCTAAAGCCTGGAGCTAAAGCAGGCTGGAACAGATTGAATTTGAGCAATAAGCTAGATATAACCTGGCCTCCAAGACATGCTCTTGTTCTTCTAGGAGTGATGGGCTCATAGGCACACTGTAATTAAGGTTTAGGTTAGTTGGTTTTATTCTATTCCCCTCCCTAATGCTGCAAAACCCTTAGCCAACCTCCAAACCTTTTACTTGTGCACTAGAACAGGACATGAGGGAAAGAATCCTCTGCAATTGCAGAGAGACCACAAGTATAATGCAATATTGGGAAGGAGATTGCACTCTTCTGTTGTGAGGACAACTGTTTGTGTAACTAGAGTCTCACCACAGGTCATTCTTTCTGACCTAGACAGGAAGAAATAAGCTAAAGTGGCACAAAGAGGGGATTGCAGGAGGCAGGGGGAAGTTTCCAGGTTTTGCTTTTCTTTAGAGCTGCACAAAATACAAAGGATGCCTAGATGAAGATAGGAGCTTGCCTTCTCATATCAGACTTACTAGCTTTCTTCAGTCTATTTTCAGTTTTATTCATAATTTTTAAAAAATTACTGTTCTACATGATAGTTTAGAACAATGCCCAGGGAGTCCTAAAAGACAGAATAATTGTGTTCTCTCTCTCAGCCTCCATCTTTGCATGGACAAGAGGACTAGCTCACAGAGCTAAACTGGACAACAACACTAGCCTCAAGAACTTTGCCACTGCCTTGGAAGAAGTCTGCATCGAGACCATTGAATCTGGCTTCATGACAAAGGATCTTGCTGCCTGCATTAAGGGCCTACCCAAGTAAGGGCATGAAGTAATCACAGCTGTGATTGGAGGGGCTGTTTTACACTGTTTCTGGAAAACAATTGCTGAAAATTCATTTTAGTAGTGCACATGGTGAGGAATTCCTGGAGTCTGGTCACAGAACAGAGCTCTTCTATACATAGTGCTGTACAAAGAGAACATGAGCCACTCTCTGCCCTAAGCAACGTAGTCTAGGCTGCTCTGTCTCCACTGGAGTGCTAAACTTGCAGGGGGGAAAAAAACCAAAAACAAAAGTACACTGCAAGGAGTTCTCCTATGACAGGCTGACTATACCAGCCAGATCCTTCCCTGTCCGTTTATTAGGGTGGAGACCTTCACTGCAAAACACCACCTGGCTACCTCTTCTCCAGAGCCTTTTGGCAAAAGACTTCAGCCTGATGACTCTCTGGTAGCTTTAGAGGCAAGACTCAAAGCTCGGAGCAGTCTTCCCCTAGTGGAGCATTCAGCAGCTTCACAGCTAACGTCTGTCTTGCTTTGTTTCTCCCTTCAGTGTTACACGGGCTGACTACCTGAGCACCTTTGAGTTCATGGACAAGCTTGCTGAAAACTTGAATGGGAAGCTGACCACTCCACCCAAACTTTAAGGCCCAGCTTCTGCCTGAGCTCCACTAGCAAAGCGTCTCCTGTTTACGCTCTGGTTAAGTGGTACTGGATCACGCTCTGTTGTGTAATATTTCAAATGCTAGAAGAAATGAACATGTAGACTTTTTTTTAATGTTTAAAAGACCCTCTTCTCTTAAACCCTTTGGGTTACTGGGCTAAGCCTTACTTTTGCCAAGCAGATGAATGTGATAGGATTCAAGCTCAAAGCGGGTCTGGATTCCTAATGCTGTTCACAGAAGTCCTGAGGTTCTTCTCCCTGACTTCTACCATCTGTGTTTCTTCCTCCTTTTCTCCCTTACTCTCAGACTGAAAGCCAGTCTGTGACACATCTCTGGTTAAACCAGCAGTTGACCTACTGTCCAACAGACCTCAGAAACCAGAACCGTCCTTTTCTCTCCAGTACTGTCCACTGACTGTAAGTGAGCTCACAAAACTGTGCCAGCTCTACTGCAGCTCCTCTCTTACTTAATGTATCTTTTAGTGCCAACCAGAGCATAGTATCCTGCTACCAAGGGATTTCTTAAATCAGGACTGTAGCATTGGAGGAGAATAAGCACTTAGTAAACGCTGGAAACAAGTCGTTAGGCTATTTAGCCTAAGAAAGCCATGCTGCGGTGTTTAAATGCAGGCTATGCATTTAATTATACTCCTGACTGGATGTAAAGCATAGGAACTGTTACCTCTGCCCCCTCCTACACTTCATAAAGGTGCAAAACTGCTTTCTCCAGTTGTCCGGGCTATTACTTACCCTTTGTATTGTGATACAGCAACTCAGATTATGATGTCCTGTGAAACACTATTCCATTTTTTTTTAAGAATGTTTTAGTTCAAACTAAAATAAAAGCGAACTAACATTTGTTGTGTCTGTCTTCCCTTGGTGTGATTTGGGGATAGGGGGACATTCTACATCAGAAATAAACTCCAGGACCTTTCAGCACAGTCCAGTGCATGCTGGGGAAGATCCTGTTAGAATGTGCTGTAAATATGGAAAAAAGTGTCTCTCCGTTCTCAAAGCAGAGTTTTAAGTTGTACTTGCCAGGGCAAGATGCCAGCTGTAGTACAGCAGAAGGCAGCAGGTAGTGCACAGGAAGCTAAAGGTACACTTGCACTGATATTTTACTCTGGGATTTTACAATTTTACTTTGGCAGGTAGAGGCTAGCAGCTTCATGTCATTGTAGGCAAAGTACTGGACTGGCCCACCGCCTCCTTGAGGGTCTCCACCTACCACTAAAGCCCTTGAAACAAAAAAGGCCCAACAATTCCATTGCCTGCCAACCAGCACCTCAGAGCCCTTTGTAAAGGGAAGCTTGCACATGAAATTGTCTGCCTGGAGCACTGCTCCAAGTTAAAACTCCCCTGGAAAAGTGTCCTGAAGCCTGTGATAGAAAAGCCAGCCTACACAGGGTCAGGGCAAGACAGCCAGGGGCCTCTCTGTACTCCCAGTCCTGCATCCAAGTGGGATGATGAATGAGCTTGTAGACAAAGGTGCCCCAGTAGGAGTATATAATCTCTACAGGGTGCTGCTAGTTCCCAGCCAAAAAATGATGCTTTCAGGGAAATGGATCAACAGTAACTATGCCATGAGGAGTGGAAGCCAGAAAGGGTAAGGCCAAGGCTGCGGGGAGGAAGGGTATGGAGCTCATGCTGTTCGGTTTTCATGGCTACTCCAGGAAACCTGCTCTTGCCTGTACTACACTGATTGGAGGTACCAGACAAGAACCCTGGGGCAGCTGACTGGTAGGAGAGCTACACATGAGCTCAGCCGGAAATAGCTGAAATCTAACCTGCAAACTCACCTCCCACTTTTCTTTAAATACAAAGATTAGCACTGTTGTGAAATAGAGACATACAGGTACTTGCACACATCTCCCCCTCCCCGTTATTGTTACGCCCTATTGCCAGGCTCGTTCAAAAATAACAGAGCCAACAAAACAGACTTCCTGTTCAAAGCTAGTACATAGCTGCAAACACCATAGTTAAGAAGGAAACGTCATCTTAGATAAGATCAGCTAGCATTAACATTTCTCTAGGGATGAGCACGTTTGAAACATAGCTCTACAGTTGCTAGCAGCTGTCACTGCACCTTCAGTATGAAGGAGCACAGTTCATAGTCTGGTATTCTGTTACTAACACAAGCTTGTAAGAAGGGTGCAGCTCAAAAAAAGTCCCATTGCTGAATACACATGAAGGCAATGGAAACATCCATCAAGAACACCTTGAGATCCAATTATTTTCCTTCCTGGCTTCTGACATTAATTGTTCAAGTTACCATGTCACAAGCAGGCCTGTCATAATACAACAGCACCTCTAGCTAATTCCCCTGTTATTTAGTAGCTCCTATCCATGCTTTGGAGTTATGGAGTACAAGAGTTTTAGCACTTTTCAGGAAAATGAAAAAATAAAAGGGAAGAGTGTGGGGTTTTGGGTTTTTTTTTTTTTAATTCCTTGACAGTATAGCTTAAGTGTAAGCAATGAAGTAGCATTTACCTGACTGCAGATGACACTATTTCCCCTCAGTACTAACACGTTTCCATCTTCTGAAGGACTCTGCAGAGTACAGAAGGTCCCAATCCATCCACATGGACTCACGGGCGCTGCTGTAGTGCTGAGGGGAGGAAAGAGCACTGTTGTCTCTGCCTGGGGAGACAAAGAAGTCAGTGCGGTCAGGAACACAGCCTCCGTCCCTGCTCTGCCATGGGGAAAGGGAGAGGGACCATTTTTCCTGCTTCCGTGAGACACATTCCCTTCTCCTTTACTAATATGATCACTTCTCTCTCCACTGCTCCCTCAAACTTTTAACATCAATAACCTTGAAAGTTAGGCACCAGTGGACCCTATCAAAGCAAGTTCTGGAGATCTGCGGGCACTCAGTCCACCACACAACAGAGGACAGAGTTTCCTGAAACATGATTGTGTCTCCTTTGCAGTATACCAGCTGCTTTGCAGAGCACTTGGGCAGAGCCCCATGTTGCTCCCACCAACAGCAATAGGCCCTTGCACCAATATTTCCATCAGTGGACCCCAGCAAAAGCCCTCCTTGATCAAAAATAGCCTAGCTTACCTTTAGTGCTTATGCAGTTAGACATGGGCATCTCTGTCCTGGGGATTGCCATGCTCAAGACTGGTAGAAGGACTCAGTCTTTAACTCCATCCTCACTGACAGCAAATACAGCGGAAGAGGATTAATCAATAACATGATATGGCTCTCCAAGATCAGCAGAGAGCTCGGACTTCTAGGACTGTCCAAGGCTTCAGCAATCGCCCATAGACACAACTCCCTCCAGTGACAGCTCCACCTGTAAAAAAGCTTTCTTCCACAGGAGGTAACACTAGGTGGTTGCAAAGCCCAACTCTCGTGCTTGCTGTCAAAGCCTGGGCTGCTGCACCCCTTCCAAACCAAAGGCAGCAGCCTTGCAGGTATCTGCAGTGCCAGAAGATCAGCTCTCCAAGGCTTGCTCTCTCTAGGCTCCAGGAGAGACCGGCTGCCTTCACAGACAAGCACCCCAGCATTTAAGAGAGGAGAAAAACAAAGGTCACAAAGCTTTTATACTGTCCACATAGAGGAGACTTTATTTATACTTTAAAATTAAATACAAAATAAGCTACGCAAAGCACGAGAGATATTCCTGCAAAGATACACAAGCTATGAGCTCAGGGTTTCCCTGTTTAACCACTATTTCACTTCTGGCTCCTTGTTTCATCCCATGGGTATTAGCTTGCTTGCCTTGGCCCTGGGACATCATTCAGGAAGCCATTCTTTTTCCTCTTTGATCTTCTTGGTCTTTGCCTTGGGTTTGGTCATTTTCTTCTTTTTGGTTTTGTAGACAGGGGAGTGGAGGAACTCCGTGTTCGTAAACGGGTCGCCCCGCCTCAGTTTGCTGTGGAACCAAAAGGGTTAGACGGAACTGTCAAGGAATTTCTTGACTATGTATAAGATTTCAGTCTGCAAAGTTAGTTTATTTCTGTTTTTACCGAAATGTTTCCGCCAGAAGGTGACCGAGTGGTACAGTTTATTCCACCTCCAGTACAGGAGCAGCTCTGACAGTACAGACTGCCTTCTGACCTAGTATAACCACTTCCTCACAAGAAGTTCCAACTGTGACACTTTTCAGGGGGAAAAAAACATAGTAATACTCAGTAGTATAATAACAAAAGGCATCATTTTAGGAGGTAAGTGGTCCTATACAGCAGCCACTGGAAGTACTGATTCCGTAGTTTCTGTGGGAGAAGACAGAGCTACTTTTTTGGTATTCATATCTGCTAGAAAAGGCAATATAGAACCCACCTACTCATGGAAAAAAACTCTCCACAAACCCTAGTGTTTCCTTCACAGGTATCTGATTAAAATGGAACTACTCGTTGTATAGATCTATAGAACTCTGGATATCAGAAACCGGCACCAAGTAAAAGCAGGGCTTTCCCTAAGCTTTCCTTATTTATCTTGTATTTTATCCTCACATTAGTCCCTCATTACCACTGGAGTAGCACACAGGTAGCCTGCTCAGAGGCATGTTCATTTCAGTGAGGGAAATCAAATCTTCAGTAGCATGTTACCAGGAGCCTGCACAGGCATCTGTGCTAATGCAGAATTTCGGCTTGACTAAACTATGGTGGAATTGAGGGCCGAAGAAACACGAAGGGTAAGAGGAGCTGAAAGACACATGAAGTGACAGAAGATCCAGCCCTGGAGAGGTTATCTGTACAGGCAAACCGCTACAGGCAACTTGGAGGGTAGAGAAGGACAAGGGAAGACAGACTGGCAGTGGACAAGGACAGATGGGGCACGTCATGCAAGTGAGGAAGGCTGGCTCTCAAGAAAAGCCCTCTTCAACACGTTCCCAACTGGTGAGAGAAGGGAGTGCCTTGGCAGGCATGCATATGCATGCATGCAGAGGAGAGATGGAGAGAAGAAGGGGGTGCAGCATGGGAACAGGGATGGAAAGGGATAGTTTAAATACCAACCTGTTGAGTTTTGGCTCTGCATAGCAGGCAGGGTCCCGTCTCCGCCTAGACGGACGTCCTGAAGCTCCTTCTGAGCTGGGGGAAGACAGAGTCCTGGCATTGGTCAAGTCCTGCAGTGGCCTAATCTCTGCAAAGACAGATGTTCACATATGAATTGATCAGAACGTTTCCAAATCATTTCCAGCCATCTTAGGAAATAGAGTTGCCAAACAGAAGAGAAGGACTGCATTACTAGGTTTCTCTGAACACTGCAGCGCAGGGTACAACCCTAACAATATCACCTTTAACTTTAGCAGACTTTTTGTCCAAAAATCCCACACCTGTAAGTCAGCTCATGATTCAAATCACGTTCCTCACTGAAAAACGCACAGGTCACTAATGGTGCCAGCATCTTTGGGCCCAGGTGTAGTAGTCTCTCCCTGTATGGATGGTAGTTGACAATTCTAACCCCCAAAAGTTTACAGTCTAGAGGAAAAAGCAAGCTCAAGGCACCCAAACAACCCAGGAGGCTTCTAGCGAGACACAGGAACCTGCCAGTGTTTGCTGCACCTTTCAAAGAAGTCAACCAGGAGGGGGGAAGGCAGGAGAACAAACTCCCTCCCCCCTGCAAAGTATATAGCTACAGCAGACCTGTTTGTGAACAGCAGCAGGAAGAAAAAAAAAAAAAAAAAACACAAAACAACTTTCTCTCTTTACAGAGTATCCAGTAACAGCAAGCTCCCAAAAAGACTCAGCTTAGCTACTGTACTAACAGTCATGGGATACACCCTCCAAAGCCTTGGAGGAAGGAGGGGAGGAGGAGGGAAAGGAGGAGAATTTAGGTAGCTTCTGACAATTTTGCACTGAAGATAGCAGCTGCCACCTAAAGGTACAAAGTCCAAATTCTCACAGCATTAACCATCCAGAACCAAAAGCCTGCCATCTTCATCACACCCTCTGCCACAACAACACAGATTCTAGCAGGCAGTGGTCGGCATCAGGCTGCATTAGATAGATTTTTCTAAATAGACAGACATGCCCTGTAGATAGCAGCAGGGAGAAAACAGGGACTCTCGGCACATGCTCTCAGCCTTCTCCTCAGAA